AGCGATATGCCATGTCCGCCTTGCGGTTGTTTTCTTAACATCGAAGGCTAAGCTCAGAAATCCCTCACGTCCGGTTTCGACACACCCTTGGGTTGTCCGTTTTCTTTCTTTCTTTTACCCGAGGCAGACGCCCAAGGGTGGGCGACGCCTAGCAACACACCTTCCTTCCCGTGAAATTGGATGGTCCTTTGTCGCAGTCACACACACACCACCGCACCGCGCCGCGCGCCCCACCGCCCACCGCCGGCAATTTGGGACCGCCCAGCCTAGGCGGGACAGCGAAACCAACACAACTCTTGTCCACCCTGCAAACAGAAAAAAGAAAACAGACCTGTTAGACGTGAGCTGCGAGTTTTTCTTTTCCTGCGATGTATATGTCCACCCCGCCGCGCCGCCGCTCGCGCCGCCTCGCCCGCGCCTCCGCCTCCGCCGCCACTCCTTCGCCAGACACGCCGCCGTCCATCCACCTCCTCGACCTCCCCACGGACCTCCTCCTGCGCGCCCTCTCTCACTGCCACAGCCCTGCCGACATCGCTCGCGTCGCGGCCGTCTCGCTGCTCTTCCACGCCTCGCTTGCGCTGGAGGGCATCCGCTTGTGGGCGCAAGAGCGCGGCTACGAGCTGCCGGCGCAGCCGGAGGGCGAGAGCTGTGCCGTGCGGTGGCTGTGCTTCGCTGCGCTGCTGTGCGAGTCCAGCCCGCCGGCGAGGGCGGTGGCAGGCCTTCATCACAGCCTCTTCATCGACGGCGAGGGGCGGCTCTCGTCGTGCGGAAGGGCTGAGAACAACATGCCAGGGCTGCTCGGGCACGGCGAGGGCGTGACGCGGCTGAACACGCCGACGTGTCTCCCCTCGACGCTGGGCGGCGAGCGCGTCGTCGCTGTGTCGGCTGGAGCCCGCCACAGCCTCGCCATCACAGCCGACGGCAGCGTCTGGAGCTGGGGCTTTGGAGGCGACGGCCGGTTGGGCCACGGCGACCAGCAGAACCAGCTGCTGCCGAAGAAGGTCGAGGCCTTGGCTGACCAGCGTGTCGTCGCTGTGTCGGCTGGAGGGGCTCACAGCCTCGCCCTCACCGCCGATGGAGCCGCCTGGAGCTGGGGCAATGGATGGCGAGGCAAGCTGGGCCTCGGCGATGAGCAGAACCAGCTGCTGCCCAAGAACGTCGAGGCCTTTGCGGGCCGGCGCGTCGTCGCTGTGTCGGCTGCAGCCGGGCACAGCCTCGCCCTCACCGCCGACGGAGCCGTCTGGAGTTGGGGCTGGGGAGGCTACTGCCAGCTGGGCCATGGCGACGCGCAGCGCCAGCTGCTGCCCAAGAAGGTCGAGGCCTTTGCTGCCCAGCGCGTCGTCGCCGTGTCGGCTGGAGGGGCGCACAGCCTCGCCCTCACCGCCGACGGCTCCGCCTGGAGCTGGGGCTTGGGAGGCGAAGGCCAGCTGGGCCACGGCGACGAGCAGAGGCAGCTGCTGCCGAAAAAGGTCGAGGCCTTTGCGGGCCGGCGCGTCGTCGCCGTGTCGGCTGGAGGCAACCACGGCCTCGCCATCACCGCCGACGGCGCTGTCTGGAGCTGGGGCTGGGGAGGTGGGGGCAAGCTGGGCCACGGCGACGAGCAGATCCAGCTGCTGCCCAAGAAGGTCGAGGCCTTTGCTGGCCAGCGCGTCGTCGCTGTGTCGGCAGGAGGCGGGCATAGCATCGCCCGCACCGCCGACGGCGCCGTCTTCACCTGGGGCGTGGGCGAGCGCGGCTGCCTAGGCCACGGAGAGGACCTGTCGAACCAGCTGCTGCCCAAGAAGATGATCGTATATCGAGGGGTGGGGGCGGGGCGGTGAGAAGGAAGTCATGAGAAGTGTGCGAGCCACTCTGCCTCTCCGCTCTCAGGCTCTCGGCTGCCGTCGTGGCGCGGGCCGTAGAGTGTTGTCTGTTCTTAGTCTGTTTTCTGGCGGGGACTGGGCGGGGTCCGGGGAATTGTCGGATGCGCATATTGGCCATCGTTTGCCGCCGGCGCCGCGCCCCCCACGCCCGCGCACAATTTAGAGTAGAGGGACGTGACTTTCGTGAGAGCTGAGCTCTTATTTGCGCTCTCGCGTTTGCCCGAATTCGCGATATTCTGCTTGCGGTTCGAAACTCGATGTCAGTCGTGTCGTACGGGGTGTGGACCCTGAGTTGACCAGGGGTTGTGCGCCGGGCCCTCCTGCTCGGCTCCAGCCGGTAGACAAGTCTTGTCATCAACAGAGTAGATGGATCTGACCTCGGGGCCGATGTGACCAAGCGCTGGTAGCGTGGTTTTACCTCCCCCCCATGGTCTCACAGTGTGCCGGCAGTCGCCGAGCAGTGTCGCTCACACAAGCCGCAGCACAAGTGACTGAGGGCCAGTGAGGGCGAGCTCATCGCTGTCACAGCTGTGGCAGCCGCACAGTAGGCTGTGTCAGCTGTGCAGAGTGTGTGAGCAGCAGAGGAGCTGCTCTCCAGGCTTCTGTCGCAAAGAGCTGCATGCCACCGAAAGCGCTGTCGAGGTTCGCCGAGCGCGGCGCAGGTTGGAGGACACCGTCACCGACGAGCGCGTTGGAGTATTCACTCCGGACAAAGACGGGCACACAGCGGACGGTGCGGGGCGTGTGCCCGTCATAGCGGCGAGGCGCGGGACCGTCTGTGGCGAGGTGGGTCGCGTCCTCCGATTTCCTCAACTCAGGGTCCGCTCCCTCTACTGGTCCACTCGCCCTGCCCCTCTAGGAACACTCTCACGCTCACACCGTTTCCACGCCGCCTCGCCCACGCCGGGCCCGACGCTCCGCAACTCTGCTCACATGCCTGGCCCTCCCTCTGCTCACCCACGTGCACCGGGCCAATGCTTGCACTTTGAATGCCGTAGGGCTCCTGCCCGTGTCCGGGCGTGGAGATGCGAGGGTCGCCCCCCCTTGCCCCACCACTGTGTGTGTGTGGAGAGAAATTTACCTTACCTTACCTCACACAGACTCAGGCCGTGACTCAGGCGCGCCTCGTCAGGGGACAGGGCCCGTTTTGCTGTGTGAGTCATGACGACCTGCGGCGCGCGTGTGCGAGCCGCGGTGCGCGGAAGCGGGAAGGGTGCCGGTGGAGGCACGTCCGGGTTTTGGAAGTAAAGATATATCGTTGCTTTTCCCATCCCTCCCTCCGGAGACACACGATCAGCAATCTCCAGGATCCCTCTCTTAACAGTTAATGGCCGACGGTGAGGCGCTCGCCTGATCATTGCGAGATGATGATTGATAACTGAGCGACTTGAAAGCTCTTGAAAGTCGAATGCGCGTGTGTGTGCGTGCGTGCGTGCGTGCGTGCGTGTGTGTGTGTGTGTGTGTGTGTGTGTGTGTGTGTGTGTGTGTGTGTGTGTGTGTGTGTGTGTGTGTGTGTGTGTGTGTGTGTGTGTGTGTGTGTGTGTGTGTGTGTGTGTGTGTGTGTGTGCGTGCGTGCGTGTGTGTGTGTGTGCGTGCGTGCGTGCGTGCGTGTGTGTGTGTGTGTGTGTGTGAGTTGAGGGGTCAATTTGCCGGTGCGAGGAGAGGCCGGCTCAGCCGCTCGGCCAATCCGTGTCCTGGTCGGGCGGCGGCGAGTCCTATTCATAGCTGACGCGTGTGAAGAGACGCCGTTCACACTCCGTCCGACGGGGGCGGATGGGGTCATCTCTGGCAGTCTCGGGCAATCTCGGGCAACCTCGGATAGTCTCGGGTCATCTTGGGCATCTCGGGGTATCTCGGGCAATCTCGGACCTCCCGCCGGACGGCGTAGCCGGCTGCGTCGAAGGCGGCGATGGCGGCGCCGACGTTCTCGAGCGGCACGAAAGTGAAGTCGAAGCCTGTTAATGAACTGCTCGCTTAGTGGCAATAGGCTCCATCCTTCGCGAGCGGCACGAAGGTGGAGTCGACGCCGAAAGTGGAGTGGTAGAGGAGGGGGATGGAGAGCGGCGAGAGGACGGTCGCCTGCATTAGCATCACTTGTACACGCATAGTCATAGATCTCAGGCGAGCGAGCGGCGAGAGCTGGTCGCCTGCGCAGCGATGATACCAGTTCAAACCGCCTCGCGCATCTCTGCTACACCCCCGCCACATCCAAGCTGCACCTGGGCTGCACCTCAGCCACACCTCGGCACACCTCAGCTATATCTCGGCGGTCTCTCGGCGGTCTCTCGGCGGTCTCAGGCCTGCGCTGCGATGACACCCACTTCGCTGAGCGGCGTCGAGTCGTCGCCAACCTTTAACCAGCCGCATGAAGAGGCTGAGTGACTACCCTCCCTCATCAGCCTCCGAGTCCGTCGCCGCCAACCTTGATCGGCACCCACCCGTCGCCGTCGGCAGCCTAGCCCACACTCCCCATCCACACTCAAGGAGTGACAGCAGTGATCGGGCAGCCACACACCCCCGTCGGCCATCTGCGGCGCCTGGATGCCGCTCGGGTGATCTCGGGCAATCTCGGGCAATCTCGAGCCATCTGCGGCGCCTGGATGCCGCTCGGCGTCGCCGCACACCACGCGCTGAACCACTCCGCCTGCTGTTTGAGTGGTCAGTTCTCAAGAATGGATTGGTGTCAATGATGGCACCGCGCGCTGAACCACCCCAACCTGCACCCGCCCCTCGGGGCGGGGGCCCCCGCCCCCAGGCGAGCTTCCTCTGTGCCGCCCTCCAGCCGGAGATGGCAACGTACGCCGCTTGCCTGCGGAGGGTACGGTCGGCCGCCGTCCCCCCGCCGCCGGGGTGGTCCCCGCGCAGAAGCGCACAGTCACCTTGAGCTGTGCGCCGCCGTTATTCTTATTGTTTTGCCAACCAGCACTCTTCAGGAACAGACTGCACAAAGATCGCACGGGCGCGGGGCGGGGACCTGTTCCTTTTTACCCATCTCACAGTAGAGTGTAGAGGTGTCCGTTTTTATTTATTTATTTATTCAGGAACAGGGTTAAAGCGCAAAGGCACAATATGTAACACATGTGCAGCATGTTGTCATGTCTAACATCGTGCCTCCCGGCACGTCCAAAAACACAACGATCAACGCGTTTCCTTTGTGTGTGTTCTATCCTTCTCCGAGTCCTCCATTGTCAAGCACTCCAGCAGTTTAGTGACCGACCTAGAGAGAAAGCCTGCCGGATCGATCTGCGTCGCACGCAAGGCCGCCTCCTGACGCGAGATCATCACCCGCTCCTCCTGGGTGATTCGGTGCCTGGGCGCCGCCTGCTCGACATCGGGTCGTGGGTCGCTCGAGGGGCCGCCCGAAGGCCCGGGCGGAGCAGGCGGAGGCGAAGGTGGCTCGAGCAGGCTGCGGGCCTCAGGGTCGGCTGCAGCAGCAGCCCGCTTCCACCTCGTATACCCCACGCCGGCCGAAAAGCCAGCCGATAGTGGCAGAGCGGTGCGTGCGAGCAGCACGCTTAGGAATGCCGCGTCCCCCGTGCGGAGGAGCATACTGGCCAGATTGGTCGCCCAGATGCCAATTGTGGCGCAGAGGTTCTTGCTTCGTACCGAGGTGTTGAGTGGCTGCACGCCGAGGAGGAGGCCGTAGGCGAACTGGCAGCCGACCGCAGAGACGGGCGCGTCGGTATACGCGGCTAGCCCCAGAGCTGCAGTCGTTCCTTCCACGGGCCGGAGCGCATCAAAGAGGAGGGTAACGATCGATGCCACGGTGGTGCCATACGTGATGGTGAGCGCGGCCCTGCGATAGCAGCCGTACGCCCTGGCCAGAGCATACGCGAGAACGACAGTGAGCATGAGCCCCCAGATGTTGACCTCCACTACGCTGTCGCCCTGGTTGCTTGCGTCGGACCGATAGCTGGCGAGAGCGTGCACGGCGCAGGAGCAAGCGACGGCGGCGCCGAGGGCGTGCTGACTGAACAGTGTTGCGCGGACATCCACGTGCCGGAAAAAGCCAGCTGTGGCCGGCGGCGAAGGCGGCATGGAGGGCGGCGGCACGCTTGCCTCCGGATTCGGACGCGTCTGCAGCAGCGGCGGTGTCGCCGAGCCAGAGAGAAGCAGCTCGTCGAAGGTGCTGCCGCCCCCGAAGTGCCACGTCATCTCGTCGGGCCCAAGCGGCGGCGGCGTGCCGGCCTCGGCGAGCGGGCCGAGAGCGAACGAGATCTCCGCGAGGAAGGGCTCGAGGCCGGCCTCCAACGCAGACCCAGACGCCTCGCCCGCCTGCGCCGCCGCCGCAAACCCCTCGACACGCCCCTCGGCTGATGCGGTGCGAGCCTCAGGGGTGTCGCGCTCGGGCGGCGGGGCCGGCGAGAGAGGAATCGCAACGGCCGACGGCAGAGCCAAATTTCTCCTGAGCGTGCGGCCGACCGTGAAGGCGACCCAGCCGTCGGAGGCGGACAGCGCGGCGGCCTCGGCAAGGCCGGGCAGCGGGACCGGAGACTCGTCCTTAAGGATTACGAGCCTCGGGCCCGAGCAGTCGGACGTCTGGTTCACGACGCGGTGCGCAGGCCAGCGCGAGGCTGGGGATGGCTCGTTCCAGAAGCCGGGCCCGTGGCTGTTGGCGATCTCGCCGGAGCCCGCGCCGATGGGCATGCGCACCCTCGACGCCGGCACAAACACGCCCCGCTGCCGGCAGCGCCCGCAGAACTTCTCGCTAAAGGCGGCCCTCGACGCCTGCGGAGGCAGCGCCTCGCAGCCCAGCGCGCCGCCCGAGACGACGTCGCCCCAGCACTTCTCCGTGTAGCGCGTGCGCTTCGGGGGTGGAGCGTCGGAGCTGGCGGCCTCGCGGGCCGGGGGCCTCGCCTCTTCCATCAGCCCTGGGCACCGCGAAGGCGCCGCCGCCCCTTCGCACGAACCCTCCTCCGCCTGCTCAGCTGCCTCGGCCGGTGTGGGCGGTGTCGGGGGAATCAAGCCCGCAGCAGGCGCTGTCGGATGCGCCGTGCCCGCCGCGCTGAGAAGCCACGCCAGCACACGCTCGGGATCTGCCAACGCCTGCTCGGCTGTCATCACAGCGGCGAGCCGAGGCACGCGTGTGATCGCTTTGCGGTATACTGCGAGCAACTCAGCGCTGTGAAGTTCGCGGCGCGTGGCGTACTCGCTGCGGAGCTGCTCGAGTTCTTGCTCCACATCGGTCAGCTCTTCGGCAGCCTCGCGGTCCTCCTCCAGCTCCCTGACCTTCGCCGCCTCCCGCTCCAAGGCGGCGGCCAGCCTCTCCTCGTCTGCACGCTGGTGAGCAGCGGCGGCTTGCCGCAGCGCGACGAGGCTGCCCGGCGCCGCGGGGTTCATCGTGGTCCGCCGGTCCGGTCAGCTGGTCAGCTGGTCCGCCGAGATCACCGAGATACTGGGTATTCGAGACCTCGAGACGCCAACAGCGACTCCGCCCCGCTTGCAACGCGACAACGGCTTCATCATCTTCATCAGCGGCCTTCATCCATGCCTACCGGCCTCCTGACCCTTTGAGTGCCGGGCCTTGCGGCGTGATATGCGCCCGCGGATACGCCACAATCTGGCCCGCAAATTACGACGAACGCTGCCTCCTCGATGGGGCAGCGATTCGGCTGCTGGCGTCGGCGATGGCGACGGTGCGGGCGTATGAGGACATCGAGGCGCGTCGCGGCCGGGATGGTGGCGATGTCCGGGACGTGCGCTGCTGCCGGGACGTGCGCTCCTGGGCGGAAGTCTGCGCGGCGCGGCTCGCGAGAGGGAGTTCAAGATATTGGCTCGCGATTCGGTTCGCGCGGCGGCGGCTCGCGCGGCGGCGGCTCGCGCGGCGGCGGAGGCGGCGGCAGAGGTGGCTGAGGCGGCGAAGGAGGAGGAGCCCGAAACGGGCAGCGGGGAGGCTGCGGCATTGGCCGCGCCCCTGCGCGGCCTGGCGTCTGCGCCAGGCTGCGCTGGCACAACGGACAGGGTCACTCCTTTTTTCGACTCTCTCCGCCCCGCTTGCAACGCGACAACGGCTTCATCATCTTCATCATCCTCGACATCCATCGCCGGTGCGGCGGCCGGCGAGGCCGCGCTAGAGGCCGCGGCGGCGGCGCCGGCGTTGACCAAGAGCGCTAGGAAGCGGCTCAAGGAGAAGGCAAGGAAGGGGCGTCGCGCTGCAGAGGCGGCGGGCGAGCCGGAGGTGGCACCATCGCCGGCGCCGCCGCCGGTGTTCAAGACGCTCAGGGAGAAGAAGTCGGCTCAGGCGTCGGCGGAGGGCTGGGCGGCGGAGGTGGCGAGGGCCGAGGAGCTCTACGAGGAGCTGCGCGAGCGCGCGCCCCAGCACTGCCGCCGTGGCGGCAAGTGGGCGCGCGAGAAGTTCGTGATGGCGGTGCAGGGAGAGTTCCCGCGCGCGCGAGGGGCAGGCGTTCCCAAGGGGACGATCCTGTGCCTCGGCAGGGTGCTCGACGCGCACGACGAGCAGGACGACGCGGAGGGTGGGCGCCGGGATTGGGAGGAGGACCCGCTCGGGTTCGACACCAACCCGGGGCTGCTCCGCGCCATGTGCATGGCGTTCGAGTGAACGCCCAGCCCGTGCCTTTTGGTGTACCCCGTTTGTGCCGCGTCCTGTGCCCCGGAATTCATTTTATAAACACCAAAAATTTTTTTTATGAACTCGGCGGCCGGCATACAACAACGGCAACAAACGGGCACGGGGCCCCGGGGGGCCTGCTAGACGGGGAGGCACGGTGGAAGCGCATGAGTGCAGCTTGACGCACGGCTTGGCCCGGCTATGCGGACGAGCGTGAGGCCAGGTGACCGCAGTCGCTCCCCTCGTCCCGCTCTCGCTAAACCGCCCTCCATTCCGCCGGTCTCTCATGTCCACGACTCTGATTCCGGCGCGCAGGAATTGATCCGGGCGGAGCCCTGAAACATCCGCTCTGCCCGCCGACTGCGGCCGACTTCCGCCTGGAGCGGCTCCAGCCCTTTGGCGCCGTCGTGCACGGGCTGCCAAACCTCGCTGGCCACCGGCCGACGGCGCGAGTCCTCGCCTGCCTCGCCGACGCCGCAGCGGAGCACGGCTACCTGGTCTTTCGGAACCAGTCTCTGCCAGGCACGGCGCTGCGTGCGGTGAGCGAGTACTTTGGCGGGCTTGCCGCCGAGCACACCTGCCACGCCGCCGCCGCGCACTGCGATATCCTGCGGCTGTCAAACCGGGAGGAGCACGGAGTCGTGCGAGTCGGGCCGCAGTGGCACGCCGACGGAAGCTTCGAGCGGCGGGTATTCTCGCACGTGCTCTTCCACGCGCAGGCCGTGCCCCGCGTCGGCGGCGGGACCGAGATGTCCCACCTCGCCGCCGCCTTTGACGCCCTGCCGGCGGCGCAGCGGGAGGCGGCGGGCCCGCGGGAGACAGCGACCGTGCGCCACGAGCTCTCTGTTGAGCCCGGTCACGTCCTTCGGTAGGCGTGGAGCCGGCTGGCGACTGTCAACGCCTACTCCGGCGCCGTCCACCCGCTCGTCCACCTCCACCCTCGCACAGGCCGCAGGACGCTCTTTGTCCACCTCGGCCAGACGGGCGGGCCGCCCCAGAGAGAAGGGGCCGCCGGCGAGCCGCCCGGAGAGGGGAGGAACCCTGTTTGGGGGCGAGCGTAGGCGCCGTCGTGCGCTGGCCGACCGCCCCATCGCTCCCGGCGCCGCCCCTCGAGGCGATGGACCCGGCCGTCGCGCCGAGCGCCGCGCTCGGACACCGGCTGCTGGGCCGCGGGGCGGTGCGCCGGCTCGCGGGGCAGCTGGAGGCGCTGCTCTCGTCGGCAGCGCCCGCACCGCAGCTGATGACCTCGCCGGACGAGCGCGCGCCTCCTCACGCCTCCTCGCGGCGGAGAGCAGGCGCCGCACCGCGCGCACCACACCTACCGCCGGCACGACCTGCTCCTCCTCGACAACCTCGCAGTGTCGCACCGCGCGGCGAGCGGCGCGCACGACGCGTCCGCCGCGGCCGGCCTGCGCGTGCTCCACCGCACCACGCTGCGAGGCAGGCACTCGCTCGACCCGCCGCCCGAGTCCGGGCTCGCGCCCTTCGCGTACATCTGGGGCGCGTGCCCCGCCGGCTTGGGCGCGCGCGGCGGCGTGTGGCAGGCGTCCGACCACTGGGGCGTGGGTTTCCGCTGGAACGGGACGGCGCCCATGCGGAATTGAGTCGGCGCGACGCAAGTCATAATCATTCCCCAGAGGGGGATCATACAAGATCCCTTCAAGGCAAAAGACGGAGATTTGCGGGATGTGATAGATCTCACTATAGAATCCGACAACGACGGGCAGCGAGAGCTGCAGCATGGCCGGAGGAAGGTGTATGGGGGTGAGTGAGTGAGTACACATGTATGGGGGTACAACTGTATGGGGTATGGGGGTCTGGGGGTACATAGTGGGCACCATTGAGGTCAACATGCCGCTTTCGCGCAGCGCGGGGATGCTGCTGCTGCCCGTCGGCTGCTTCTGCAGCGCCTCTGGCTTGCTGTTGATGAAGGCGGCCGGCGACAGCCGACCGGACCTCCCACCGTGGCGGAATCCAAAGTGGATTGCGGGGTTCGTGCTGCTCGGCATCCTTGCAACAGTCGTCGAGGTGGCGGTCCTCGGGGTCCTGCCGCTCTCGGTCGTCGCGCCCTTCGCTGGCCTGACCATCGCGTTCTCGTTGCTCCTGGCTGCCAGCGGCCTGCTCACCTCTCCAGCAGAGAGGCTGGAGCGCGCGGACCTCGCGTGCATCGCTTTGGTTCTGCTGGGCGTGACTCTCGTATCCACATTCGGCCCGCACGAGGAGAGCGCGCCTTCGCTGCCCGCACTCCTGGCGGCGTATACGCGCCCGCGCTTTGCGCTCTTTGCTGCCGCTGCCTTGATCACCGCGGCTCTCGTTCTCTCCAAGAGCGTCTGCGGAGTCAGCGACAAGTCCTCGGTGTTGCCGCTGATCTCCGCCTTCGCCGCGGCGGCCACTGGCTGCATCTCCCAACTGATGCTTAAGGTCGTCTCGACCACCGCCTCTGCCTTCCCCGCGACTGCCGTGCCACTCGCGCTGGCGCTCCTCGGCCTCTGCGTCTCGGCGCCGCTGCACCTGACCCTCCTCAACCGTACTCTCGTCGGTGCGGCTGTGGCGCTCGCCGTGCCGGCCTACCAGTTCTTGCTCATCGTGTGCACCACGTCGGCCGGCGGCATCCTGCTCGACGAGTTTGAGTCTCTGTCTTCGGGGGACCTCTGGGCATACGCGTGCGGGGTGGTCACTGCGACGGTCGGGCTCGTCGGTCTCTCGTACTTCAGCTCGGTCGGCGCGGAGCCGGGGGGTGACGAGGAGGGCAGCAGCGATGAGAGCGACAAGGCTGCTCTCGAGCTAGAGCGCGGAGCGGAGGGCGGGAGTGGCCATTCGGGAAGTACGTCGAGCGACGCCGCCGAGTCGGCCACGAGCTTGCCGCCCCGCCCCATGCTCTCGCAGCTGCGAGGAGATCGCACCCAGGGGTCTATTCTGAGGGGCCGGCTGAGCCGCAAGTCGCTGACGTCGGGAAGGCACTCGCTCGTGGTCGGCTCGTTCGGTGCTGGCCTCGGCTCCGTCGCAGCGATCTCCGACTTGCGCCTCAGCCTAAGCCCCAAGCTTTCCCAGTCGCGCCCAAACACGTGGAGCACGGGCCTCTCGATCGATGCTGTGAGCGACGTAGACACGCCCTATCTGGAGAGAACCGTGTCAAGCCATCGCAGCACCACGCGGTCCGCACGTACCGCCCACATCCCCTCCACCGCTGAGAAGGCGCAAATCGACCGTCGGGCCGCGTAGTCGTCGTTAAGGAGCGGTTTTTGGAGCCGTACGAAAAGGTCCCAGACGGGCGAACATGCGGTTTTTCGATGACCACGCGCGATGTGGTATCTTCTTTTTGCTAAAAACGGGCCGCCTAGTGCAACATCACTAGTACAACACGTAACCACACTTAGAGCTCCACAGTAGATGTTTTTGACGAGCGCCGACGGCGTCACGGTCGCCGGAGTGGACGCACTGCACACACACTGTGACCGTGTCGTGGGTGTGACAGTGCGCGACACAACCGTCGGCGCCGCGCTATCGCGGCGCCCCGCAGTCTACACGCCTCAGGCGCACCCCTGAAGGCGCCATGAGCGCGCAGGCACATAGCAGCGCCGCGCCAAAAGGTCATTCCCTCAGCGGTCCGCTCACCTGCAGAGGGCAAAAAGGTGTAGCTTAACAGACGAGTTGTGACGATCAGTGCTGGCGGAGGCCTCATCGCCGCGAATGTTGCCCGTCGCAGCGGGATCTGACGTCGCGTTCGAGGTGTGCATTGGCGGAGGGGTCGCAGGGCTGAGAGAGGCAGAGGCAGCAGGCGGGTGGTGGGGCGGCACCTGTTGCTGCCATGGGCAGCGCCGAGCCGCGGCGGAGGTCGCTCCGTAGTTCTGCGTTGAGCCCTACGAGTGCGTCGACCCGTCGCGAGGTGCCTGCGCGGGGGTGATGTCGCGCCGATAGCTGAGTACGCGGTGTGTGAGCGGCTTTGCGCGCCGAGAGGCGGCGCGAGAAGGCGAGCGGGCGGGCGCGCCGGTGGTCGGGCACCGCGCGATGCGGCTGCAGCGAGCCGGCGGCTGGCGCGGCGAAGGCGGGCAGCGTCGCGGGTGGCGCCACCGGCTCGAGGTGGGGTCCTGAGGTGGCTTCAGCCTGGTCTGCTCGAGCGGCACGCCCGCCGCGCCCCCGCGAACAGCCACCTGTGGGCGGTCACCGGGGTGGCGGTCAAGCTCGCGACGGGGTGAATCTGGTGCGTCTAGTATCACTGGTGGGCTGGGTGTGCAGCAGCATCGCTCAAAAAGAGGCAAAAAACTCGAGAGCTACTTTGAGTGTCAGCTCTCTCGACGCACCGTCCTCGGGCCCCTCGAAAAGCTGGCTGGTGGTCGCGCGAGGCTCGTCGGCGCGGTGGACGCGGGACAGATGATGACGACACGCACACGAACGACACACAGACACAAACAAGCTCACAAGACACACAGCCAGCTGGCTGCCACCCACCCTGAGTTGGCGTACACATAACTCAAGGCCACATCCTCCCTGTCGCCCCCCCCAGCACTCCAAGGTGCCAAGAGAACAAACAAGGGCACAACAACACAACAGACGACAGGGGAGAACGCGTGAGGCTAGAGCAGGCTTGCTCGTCCTCTAGCAATCTCCGCCGACCGCGAGGCCGGACTAGACCGTGTGTGGGGTCATGTGAGGTGTCTCTGGTCACTCTCCTCAGAGGCTAGCCGCCAGCCGCTAGCCCTATCTCGCACTCACTGGCGGTGACAATTCTATGGGTGAGCGTATGCGTGCGAGTAGAGGCGCGTGAGCCGATTCTTGATCGCATGCCATTGGCATAACTGGGCTTGGCGTGCGACCTCAGCGCGCCCGCCGTCAGCTCGACGGGGCGCGCATGTCAGCGAGAGGTTTGCCGGTAGAGCGATCCCGGTCTTGTCGAACGCGAGCCCCACGCCACGGTTGCCAGCCGTGCCTTCGCGAGAGTCGCCCTCGGAGCCGCGTCCCGTCGGCACTACCCTCGAGTGCGCGTCCCGTCGGCCGATAACTGCCCTATACCCAACGCCGGAACCCAGCCTGCGCTGGCGCTCCCCACGATAAACCAGTGAGACCCTTCCCGACCCCGCGAGCACACACCGCGTCTCCGAGACGATACAAACACCTCTCGAGCATGACAGCTGGCTCGCTGACGGCCTCGCTGCGCCCCTCCTCTGCAGGCGCACCGAGGAGTGGTGTCGAGCATCTACCACGCACACACCCACGCGCACACATGCTGCCCAGCGAGACGCGCCGACGCATCGCTCTCGCCGACGCCAAGAAGCCGACGGCGCAGCACGCGGGGAATCAGGGCCTCGTCGACGTCTTCTGGGTCCTCGCGGACGCCACCTTCAAGGCGGAGCCGGAGAACGCCGGCACCAAGGGCTCGGCTTACCGCAAGGCGGCGCAGGCGTTCGCCGCCTGCGCCTTTGCCGTCACCGCCGAGACGGTCAGTATCTCTGGGGAGAAGAAGCTCGCGAATGTCGGCAAGGCGTCCTTTTACACACACGCTCACCCACACGCGCACCGGGCCTTGCCCTTTGAATGCCGCGGGGCTCCTGTCGTCTAGACGTGGAGTCGCGAGGGACTAGCCTGGCCCTTGCCCCGCCACCTCGTGTGTGTGGAGAAGTTTACCTTCCCTTCCCTTACCTTAAGGCGTCCTTCGAAAAGATGGCCGCCTTCCGAGCGACGGGCTCCATCCCGAAGCTTGTGGCGTACCAGGCGACGCTCGACGGTGCGGACAGTTCAACAACGCCGACAGCGCAGGTCGCGAGTGCGCCGCCGGCAGCGCAGCCGACAGCGCCGCCGGCACGGCCGACAGAGTCTGCAGCGTCGGCAGCGCAGCCCGCAGCGCCGGCAGGGCAGCGGGGTGCGGGCAGTGCGCCGCCCACGGTTCCCCTTGCACCTGGCGCGACTCGAGTCTGGCTCGGCACCGCGCCGGCGCGCGGCAGGCGACCGTCCTGCTCCTAGACGCGGAACACGTATTCTTCTCTCCCAACCAGCACTCGAGAGGACGAGGGAACACGTACTCCGCTGTATTCCGCTGCATCCCACTGTCCTCCCCTCCGTTGTCTCCACGCGGTGCTCTGAATACGCTGCACGAGACCGTCTCCCCGCCCTGAGGTTGGCGTATTCAACACGTAAGCCGACCATCGCAGACACGTGCCGAGATTACCCGAGATCACCCGAGATTACCCGAGATTACCCGAGATTACCCGAAGCTGGTAGGCCGACCATCGCAGACATGTGCCGCTTCTGCGTCGCGCGCCGGCGGCTCTGCGCGTACTGCGACCAGCACAACGCCAACGAGCGGGAGGGTCGCATTGTCCACGCCATCCCCCTCGGAGGGCTGGGCTGCGGTGTCTGCGGCGAGTGCGAAGACTGCCGGGCCGCATCAGTCGTGCCGGGCGAGCGTGCTGTGTACGTGTCTCCGCTCCTGCTCAAGGGCAGGGGGGGAGGGAGTGACTTGCCCCACCACCCTCGCTGCTTTGCGGAGCACATGATGGTGGACTATTCGCCCCGCGGGCCCGCCGAGGGCAGTCTCAGACTGGTCGCCATCTCGCTCAAGCACAACGGCGAGGTGCAGCAGTAGATGTGCCGCTTTGTTGTGCGGCAGGCTAGAGGCAGAAGTCGTGCTCTTGTCTCGCCAACCAGCGCTCGAGAGGCCGCGTATTCAACTGTGTTCCGCTGCACTGTATTCACTGTCTTCCTGTCCGTTGTCTTCACGCGGTGCTCTGAATACGCTGCACAAGACCGTCTTCCCGCCCTGAGGTATGCGTATTGAGCGCGCAGGTGCAGCAGGCCGCGTGTGTGCCTCTGCTGGAGGCGCGCACCTTCCTTGCGTCTCTGTGGGCTGCCTGCGCCGCCGACGGCCGCCCCCTGCTGGGCGAGGAGGGGCCCTGGAGAGAGGACGGCCCCTTGGCGGCGTCTCTGTTTGGCGACCGCGCCATCGTTGCGCCGGCGCAGCGCGCGTGGGCCATCGACGCTCTCGAGGGGGCTGCGGCGCCCGCCTCGCCGCCGCCCGCGGCAGGACGGGGCTGGGCGAAGCGCGACTGGACGAGATTCGTGGCGGAGGAGAGGGACGGCCCGCTGTCGCCGGCCGGGAGGCACGGGCAGATGAAACGCGCCGCGTCGCGCGACCTCTTCCCGAAGTACTACCCGATTCACTGCCCCGGCGGGGCGTGCGGCAGCGGCCGTGGCGCCACGGCCGCACGGGCCGACCGCGGTCTCCGCCAGCCGACGCTGTCCTTTTCCGTCATGTCGTGATCTTCTCACCGATCGATCACCGACGGATCGGCGTCGTTGTGGCATGCGTGGCGCGGCGCGCCCCGCGGCCGCGCGGCCCCTGGGATACGTTGTCACGTACGTCTACGTGGTTCAGGTAGCTGAAATAGGGTATTGTGTACACCTCTCGGCTATCATGGGCCAAGTGTCGTTGTGAGACTCTTTTCATTTCATTGTTTTCATAGGTTGACGCACACTGACGTGATGTGCATCAGCTCTCGCACGAGCAGCTCGACTAGCAGGTGGCCGTCGGCCTTGTCGTAAAACCACTCGTTCTCCGCGTCCCAGTCGTAGTAGCGCGGGCCGATCAGAGGCGAGAAGAGCAGCACGCGCCCGTCCGGCAGCGCCTCCAGCCCGTACTGCCCCTTCTCACCGAGTTCGAGCAGGATCTTGCCGTCGGCGTCGAGCGACGGCTCAAAGGTCTCCGACGGCGTGGCGACGGCCGCCGCCTCCTTGGCATCGACCAGCGCAGCGTAGATGGTGTCGATGCAACGCTGTGCGGGAGGTCGAGCCGCGGCGCAGAAGCAGCGCTCGGCAGGCATGCGCGGGCGGAGAAGCAGCGGTGGCGGCAGTTTAAATGCGGCGGCGGATCGCTGCAACGAGCTTGCTATTCGTCGCGGCAGTGCGTACGAGCGGAGTGAGCAGCGATGGGCGCTGGTGCGAAGGTGAGAGCGCAGCCGATGTGCATGCATGTGTCAGGAGATAGCGGCCGCGACTCTCTCGAGGTCTCTGGCCCGGTGGTGGGTTCCTGCTCGTAAAAAGAAACCACGGTCCAGAGAGGTTCCTCCCCTCAGCGTTGCGTTTTTTTCTCAACCCGCGTGCCTCTGCACATCCGTTCACGTGCACGGAGCTTCTTGAGCCACCCACCTACGGTAAGGTAAGGTAAGGTAAGGTAAAGCCGTAAGGTAAACTTCTCCACACACACGAGGTGGTGGGGCAAGGGGGGGCAACCCTCGCGTCTCCACGTCTGACGACAGGAGCCCCACGGCGGCATTCAAAGTGCAAGGCGGAAAAAAACTCGGACCCACGAAGACAAGGAGCGCGCGCCAATGGCCGCCTCCGTGACACTCCCACCTCCTGGGCCGGCGCGGGAGTTTTACTGCCGAGTTTCTCCCGGCCGGCCGCCTCCTGACACGCCCACTGACCGAGCCCATCGAAAAAAATTCGGCGCGCCGCACTGCTCTGACCCCTGCTCGCCCCTGCTCGCCCCTGCTCGCCCCTGCTCGCCCCTGCTCGCCCCTGCTCGCCACTGTCGCCTCGGTTGCCGAGGCTGCCGCGCACCCGCGCGCTACGCGACTACGAACTGCACCAGCTGGGCTCCAACCAACGACCAAAACGTCCCCGACCCGAACGCTGCACCAACTAGGCCACACCGCAGGCTCGATATGCAATACGCACAAAACTGGCCGCTCATAAAGCACTACTCATTTGCCGAGGCCACGCGGCGCCCCTCCACAGCCAGCCTACCCTCCTATCGCGCCACTC